GGTGGTCAGATATTGGTGGTCAGATATTGGTGGTCAGATATTTGTGGTCAGATATTGGTGGTCAGATATTGGTGGTCAGATATTGGTAATCATATATTTTTGGTCAGATATTTTTGGTCAGATATTGGTGGTCAGATATTTTTGGTCAGATATTGGTGGTCAGATATTGGTGGTCAGATATTGGTGGTCAGATATTGGTGGTCAGATATTGGTGGTCAGATATTTTTGGTCAGATATTTGTGGTCAGATATTTTTGGTCAGATATTTGTGGTCAGATATTGGTGGTCAGATATTTGTGGTCAGATATTGGTGGTCAGATATTGGTGGTCAGATATTGGTGGTCAGATATTGGTGGTCAGATATTTGTGGTCAGATATTTGTGCTCAGATATTTGTGCTCAGATATTTGTGCTCAGATATTTGTGGGGATGCAAGAGAAAACATCATTACCTATGCTGAAATCAAGGTGTTTACCTATGCTGACATCAATTTAAAATGTGTTTACCTATGTTGACGTCAATGTAAAATGTGTTTACCTATGCTGACGTCAATGTAAAATGTGTTTACCTATACTGACATCAATTTAAAATGTGTTTACCTATGCTGACATCAATGTGTTTTATTTTGTTGACGTCAATGTAAAATGTGTTTACCTATGTTGACGTCAATGTATAAATGTGTTTACCTATGCTGACATCAATTTAAAATGTGTTTACCTATGCTGACATCAATTTAAAATGTGTTTACCTATGCTGACATCAATGTAAAATGTGTTTACCTATGTTGACGTCAATGTATAAATGTGTTTACCTATGCTGACATCAATTTAAAATGTGTTTACCTATGCTGACATCAATGTAAAATGTGTTTACCTATGTTGACGTCAATGTAAAAGGTGTTTACCTATGTTGACGTCAATGTAAAAGGTGTTTACCTATGTTGACGTCAATGTAAAAGGTGTTAGCTTCAGTGCGTCCGTCAGATACTGACACCCCTAGCCTTACCATCGGCTCAGTCGCACTTCGAAGGTCAAGGTTAGACTTGATTACACATTCAGTTGTCCCTCCTGTGTCATTTAATGTCATATTTAAAAGCAATTTCAAGACATATACAAGCAACAAAGTCTATAACAAATTTGAAACAGGGTATTCAATGATATTTCTAAAAATTGTCATTATTTAAAACCTAAAATCTTAAGTCATATATCCCAAAATATGTCATTTAATGACGATTCGCTGATGACATAGATGCTAAAGCAGGTAGTGAAGGCGAGTTAATAAAGTTAGCAAATAGATAGGACACACGTGTAAATAGCCAACGATCTGAGGTAGTTCATTTATTCAAGTACCTTGGAACGCAGCAAGATGTGGCCAAGCAACAAGAGCACTGAGTAAACGAAGAATTTGTCACATAACAACACTTCTATAACAACACTTCTATAACAACACTTCTATAACAACACTTCTATAACAACACTTCTATTCGCAACATTTCTATAACAACACTTCTATAACAACACTTCGATAACAACACTTCTATCCGCAACATTTCTATAACAACACTTCTATAACAACACTTCTATAACAACACTTCTATAACAACACTTCTATAACAACACTTCTATAACAACACTTCTATTCGCAACATTTCTATTCGCAACACTTTTTGCATGAATAGATTTAGTATATTTTGCAAGATAGAAGTTACGAAACCTGTGGACTGACTGTTGACAACGGTAAAGTAGTTGACAGCTGGTGAGCTGGTAAGTGAACAGGACAGCACGTCGTTGTCCTGGTCCCTAGCTGTCACGGTGTAAACTTCCTTGCCAGGCACTGTGACGTCAGCAGCCACCAGATTAATTAGGTCTGGAACATCAATCAGAAGGTTAATTAGATGGGGATAATTAATCAATAGGTTAATTAGATCTAAAACATTCATCACAAGGCTAATTAGATATTAAGCATTTATCAAAAGATTAATTAGATGAGGTACATTCATCAAAAGGTTAATTAGATGAGGTACATTAATCAAAAGGTTAATTAGATCTAAAACATTCATCACAAGGCTAATTAGATATTAAACATTTATCAAAAGATAAATTAGATCAAATTCAAATTCAAATTTTCAAATTTATTCAAATTTATTCAAACAACGGTTACAATTGTAGGCACAAAGGCCTTTTTTCACATTGGCCGTTTAAACAAATAAAGCAATTCAATAACACATAGCAGTAACACATAGCACTGAAAATGTGGAATAAAGAAACAATGGTACATAGCTATCATACATAATGAGATAAAAAAAGAGAATATAATAGATGAATGAGAAATGTTACAATGAGTCAGTTAGGTCATTAAATAATTTTAGTTTTAGTTTAGATTTGAATATATTTTCAGATCTAGATAGCTTTATTTTATTAGGAAGATTGTTCCACAAATTAGAACCAGAGTAGGCGAAGCTATGTTTTTGGAAAAAGGTTGAATAAGGGAATGGTAAATTAAGACGACGATTTAATTTTATGTTAAAAGAAAATAGATCTGATAAGTAAGAGGGGGCTGTTTCGTGGAATATTTTATATAAGAAAATTGATTTAGTATATATTATCTTTTTATTTAATGGAAGTATTTTAGTTGTAAGAAAAGAATCCAGACTACTAGACAAGCCAGTAACCAGTTTTATAGCCCTTTTTTGTAAAGAAAGAAGAGGACGCTGCTTAGATATAAAGCTGCCGCTCCACACTACAGAAGCATAATCCAACCTGGATTGAATAAAAGCCTCATAAAAAAACCAGCCTGCTCCTATAGTTGAGAAAGTTCTTTATCCTTGCTAATTGAAAGGTTGTCTTTAATAAGGACATTCTTAGAAAATGAATATGGTCAGACCAAGTGAGGTTGTGATCTATAAACAATCCTAGGCATTTGTAACTGTCTACCTGTTCAATGTTTGAATTGTCTATAGTAATGTTTAATGCGGTGGATGAAAGACGAAGGCGTTTCTGATGAGTTGTAATAAACATTGACTTGGTTTTATCGGGGTGAAGTTTCATTTTGTTAAATTTTGTCCAAGTAGCAAGCTGATTGGCACATGTTTGAAGTTTGTAACTGAGTGACTCAGCACTGTCTGCAAAGACATGCAAAGAAGTATCATCAGCGAACATCTCGCACTGACCAGCGTCAATATGTAATGGAAGATCATTAATGTATAAAGAAAAAAGTAAAGGACCTAAGATTGAGCCCTGTGGAACCCCTATATTAACATATTTCTGTGAAGAGATGGTATTAAGGTGAAACACGCGTTGAGATCGGTTAGATAAAAAGGAGTGAAGTAACCTAACTGTAAAGTCGTGGAATTTGTATGGAATTAGTAAGAAGTATGGTGTGATCAATAGAATCAAAGGCTTTTCTGAAATCGACAAACAGTGAGCCACAGAGTAGGTTTTTGTTAATATTTTTAAGCCAGTTTTCATTCATCTTAATCAGAGCAGTGTGACAAGAATGAAATTTTCTAAACCCAGACTGATTACTATGGAAAAGCTTGAGCTTTTCTAGGTAATTTGAAATGCATTTGTTTATATGTATTTCTAGTGGCTTGGAGAGGGAAGAAAGTATAGAAATTGGCCTGTAGTTATTAGCATCTTGGATGTTACCTTTTTTGTGTAGTGGTATAACCTTAGCATGCTTAAAATGTGTCGGGTAATAATGCTTGGCAATACAGAGGTTATAGACATAGGTTAAAACTTCGGAAATTATTGGAGCTGAAATCTTCAATACATTATTAGAAATATCATCAAACGAAGTTGTTGAAGACGGTTTAAGAGATCTTAGGCTAACATATACTTCATGAACAGTGAGAAGCGGAATGATCAGCTCTGTCCTACCACGGTGAGCAGAATTACAAAATTTTTTAAGCTCCTCACTGATTGTGTAATCAGCATCTGTGTTGAGCGCAACAGATGATATAAAATGATTGTTAAAGTCATCAGCAGATATCTGGCAATGTCCAGCTGTATTACATGTGCGTTTTTTTCTAATTATTTGATTTATAGCAGTCCAGATATATTTGGAATTAGGTTTGCCTGACAGCAGCTTATTAAAATACTCCTTCTTCGACCTACGCACGAGCAGTTTGACATAATTTCGCTGCCTACAAAAGTCCTCAGAAGTTCCATAACGTTTAAGCCAGTCTCTTTTATTAATTGCAGATTCGATATTGTTGTTAAACCAAGAAGGTTTGTATGTAGTCTTAACCCTTTTAGAGATTTTAGGAATATGTTTGTCATATATAGTATAGAAAATACGCAGCCATTCAGAAATGGCAAGATCGGGACAATTATAATTGTATACATTGCAGAAGGGGGCAGCCAATAAATCCGAAAGAAAAAGATTTTCATTAAATTTTCTAAAAGAGCGATAACTTATAGTTATGTGTTGCCGCGAAAGTACACATAATCTTTTTGTCGAAAAAGTACAACAAACAGGGAAGTGGTCACTAACACCACAAGAGGGGACACAGACCTCTATTAGGTTGCAGTCAGGTGATGCATATATGTGGTCAATTATTGTACTTGATTTATCATTTACCCTGGTAGCCGTGTGCACAAATTGTTTTAGATTCAAAGAATCAATAATATCTTGCCAATATCCTTGAGGTTTTAATAAATTTATATTAAAATCTCCCAATATGATATATTCATTGTTAGTAGATAAAACGGTATCCATCATGGAGCAAAAACGATCATACCAATCCATGTTTTCGCAGGGATTTCTATAAAGGAAGCAAATTAAAATTGCCGGATGGTGTTTGCTTTTTTCGAGTTCAATCCAAATACATTCTATATTGTCCGTTGACAGATCCTTCCTGTACTTGAAACGAATTGAGGAGTGGACATAGACACAAAGGCCAGTTTCTTTGTGTAAGAATGGGTCTCGGCGTATTAGGTTATAATCAGAGACGGATATCTCAACATCATTTATAAAAGATTGTAATCGAGTTTCAGAGAAACCAAAGATATGGAAAGGATTGTTGGAATTGTTTAAAATTTTTAGAACTTCATGGTGTTTATTAAATATGTGGAAAATATTTAAATGGCCCAATATTTTAGCCCACTTTGTGAGGGCCAGGATGATGAAAATAGACAATGCATAAAGATAATAAAATATCAATGAATAAGAGATGTTATAAACAAAAATCAATATAATGAACTAATTAAACAGAATCAATATAATTGTCTTACAATTACACGCTTTGTCATCCAATAAACAAATACTCGCTGCTCTTCACACTGCCTTATTATCTATCTCTCTTTCTCTCTCTTTCTCTCTCTCTCTCTCACTCTCTCTCTCTCTCTCAAAATAAATACCTATATATAAATATATATATATATAAATATATACATATATATATATATATATATTGCTATATAAATGTACAATAGTATCAGTATGTATTATAATTAAAATAGTACCGTGAGCTAAACTAGTAAATAGTAAGTGAAAAAGTTAGGTTCCAGGAAGGCGCTTAAGCGACAACATTAGAGCTTGATGAAGCAACAAAGGGCTAAAGCCCATTAAGTGATGTAAGCCTGGGCTAGAGTTCAATTGATCTGAAGATATTGTTGGAAGCAAATCAACAGTCGAAACCAAATCAGACCTTGTACCTTTTACGTTTGAACGTTGCACATGGTCTTTATCTGTTAAGCTGACGGCTCTTTGGGGATACTTTATATTTTTTGCGAGAATGCTGCTTCCAATTTTAGTCAAATGAATACTGTCACTGTACAAGCGTTGTCTCGGGGCACCTGACTTCGCAGTGAAAAAAGGTGTATTGTTTATAAAACAGTATTTATAGCTAATGCAGAAAGACTGTAAAATGTATTATTTATTTCTATCAAGTGCCTACCCTTGCCCCGACATGGGGGTACGATTGATGAGAATCGGATTGCTGCGTTGGGAAATGCGTGAGTGATACATCTCACAATTTCTAGCATATTAGCTTGTGACAGTCTGACGTTTGATAGACTGTCGTTGACACCACAATGTAAGGTTACAGTTGTGGTATTAGAGTCACGTGATCGGCTACTAAAAGCGTCCCTAATTTTATCAAAATTTGCCCCAGGCAGCGCTATTACCGATACACGCTCGTAATGATCCGTGGCCATTATATCAGGATGGAGACCTTTAAGTGTAGAGTCACCAAGGATCAAATGGTGTTTCGTTGTTAGGTTGGTGTAGGGGGCGGCGACATGTTGTGTGCTATCTCTATTAGTGGCATAGTGAGTAGAGCGTTGGACAACAGGGACATGAACAGCCTTGAACGTTGGGACGCTGTATTGTGTAGAATTGCTTTTAGTTCGTGGTCGTTGCAGGGTGCTAGGACTCGAATGTTCCGATGGTTTGATTCGCGCTCTGTCATCACGTTGTGTAATTTTAACAGGGATTGGGAACGGAGCTTCTTGCATGATGCCTGCCGATGTGATTTTTGTTTCATTTATTAGTTGTTGATTATCCTCACATGTTGAGGTGGATATTGTGCTGCAAGAGGGATTCTTGGTTGTGAGGAGTTTCTTTAGTGACGCAGAAATATTTTCTTGATCAATCAAACGCTTCTTAAGGTTAACGTGTATATCTTTGCAGCTATGCACTTCATTAGATAGTCTCTTGACTTCGTCCCTTAAGACAGCGTTTTCGACTCGGAGTTGTTCTAGTTGGCTGTTAAACTGCAATTTCTCCGCTTTAAACGCTTTTTTAACACAGGTGATCTCGTTAAGAATAAACGATCTTAAGTTATTATCCGGTTGAGTGGTTTGAAGAAATGATATTTTTGGACTAAGCAAATCAGTTGGTTGAGATAGGTTTGATGAAAATGT